GTAAATTCTCTAGGACTGTATCATGAGAATGTTCAATGTATGTGTGTTTGCTTCTGTCTAAGGAGCTTAACATGCATTTGGTATACATTCATAGCTGCACATGTATGCATATGCATTGTGCAGAATGACTTTAAGCCAGTGTTTCTCAACCTTCTTAGTGTCATGACCCCTTAATACAGTTCCTCATATCATGGTGACCCCCCCAATCATAACATTCGTTGTACTTCATAACTGTAATTTTGCTGATATGAAGGATGTATTTTCATTCACTGGACCAAATTTGGCACAAATACCCAATGCGCCCAAATTTGAATACTGGTGGGGTTGAGGGGGATTGATGTTGTCATTTGGGGGTTGTAACTACTGGGATTTATAGTTCACCTACAATCAAAGAGCATTCTGAACTCCACCAACCATTGAGTTGAACCAAACTTGGCACACAGAACTCCCATGAGCAACAGAAAATACTGGAAGGGTTTGGTGACCTTCAGTTTTGGAGTTGTAGTTCACCTATATCCAGAGAGCACTGTGGACTCAAATAATGATGGATCTGGACCAAACTTTGCATGAATACTCAATATGCCCAAATGTGAACACTGGTGGAGTTTGGAGGAAACAGACTTGACATTTGGCAGTTGTAGTTCACCTACATCCAGAGAGCACTGTGGACTCAAACAATGATGGATCTGGACCAAACTTGGCACGGATACTCAATATGCCCAAATGTGAACACTGGTGGAGTTTGGAGGAAATAGACTTGACATTTGGGAGTTGTAGTTGATGGGATTAATAGTTCACCTACAATCAAAGAGCCCCTTGAACCCCACCAATGATAGAATTGGGCCAAACTTCCCACACAGACCCCCCTTGATCAACAGAGAATACTATGTTTTCTGATGGTCTATGATGATCCCTCTTGACGTCCCCTCACGACCCCCTCTTGTTCCCAACCCCCAGGTTAAGAAACACTGCTCTAGGCCAATGTGAATGAACCTGAATCTTGCTGTCTTGTGGAAACAGAGAATATCCCTTACTGATCTAACTTGAACAGTTAAACCTTATGCTTGCATTTGTTCACAATTTTCATTTTTCAAAGCTATAAATGAGAATGCTAAATTTATTACAAGGTGTGGTGTACAAGAAAATGCTAAACAGATCTGCTCAGGAGTATAGCTAGGTGATTCTGAGAGGTGTAATCTAAGAAAAAATCATGAACTTTGTCAAGCTTTGGTATTAATGGTGAAAATATCTTGGATGGGGAAAGCATCATTATTAAGGTAACAAATTGATTACAAAAATACATTCATGACAAAACCAAGCCTTTAATAAACTGCAGCGTTTGATTTACCTCTGATTATAATAGGATTAGATAGACCTTGAGCTGGACTGCCAAAGCAGTGGTCATGTTTTGGAGATTTAACTTACAAGCAATAATAAAACTATAACCTCAGGGAAACATAAAATGGCCGAAGCCCAATGTTTATTCCAGGCAGAGAATGAGCAGGGACTGAGAATGAGAAGAAGTGGTCAGAAAGCAAGTGGAAATGAAAGAGTTTGGAAGACCAAGGATTATAAAAAGTAGATGTGACAGCTAAGAAATTTTATTAATAATATAATAAAACTTTATACATTGTCCTATCTCCACAAAATGTATGCTTTTTTTTCAGGTTCCCAAAGTCTTTGTAAACCTGGTTGATTCTACACTACTCACAGTCTCGTCTCTTCCTCACACTAGTTTGAATCATAACAGGTAAATAAAATGTTTTTCTACCTATCTTTGAAATTATTGCTTCTTTTTGCATCCTTGAGGATGTACTGTTCATTTTTCTTCTGAAACATGTTGTGATAGGCATATAAAAGATTCCTGCACTTGATAGCAAATCAATTGTAATCTTAGATGTGCTTTGGAAGTTTTTATCCTGACTTGATAGATCTAAACCAATTCAAAAGACCATATCCTACAGAACGGTCTGTCCTTTATCTATTGAAAATGACAATCAATTGCTGTATATTGACCCTCTTCATGACATTTTTCCTGGTTCAGACCTCTTCTACTATTTTTTTCTAGGGCCTTTCTTTCTTTTTAGAGGTTTTTTTTAGAGTTATAGTGCAAAACAGCCATTTCATTCGTCGACTATAGCGTTCAACTTATATTTTTAAAAGAAAGCCAATGGGAAAATAGAATGATTCTTCTTTGGTCAGATATGTTTTGGAATTAAAAAGAAAACCACTTGAAAGTGAGAATAAAATGTTACAACTGGTTCTGGAATTGTCAGAAAATCGTTTTAGACAACAGAAATACTGCTTCCATATTTAAGAAATCCTTAGAACAACAGGAACAAATACTACAACTTCGTGATAATAGAGGATCCCTTACATTATTTGGTTCAATCTTTTATTTAACCACATCCCCTATTGTCCTAATGCTTAGTCTACCATCAATAACTGAAGTTTTTAGTGCTTTTTGTGTTTAATTCCATTTTAATGTTTGCATTTTTGTATATTCTAAATTGTATACTAATGCTTTTATGTCAAAACTGGGGAATAAAGCAGAGTATAAATAAATATAATATTTTTTATTTTGTTTATCATGTCAGAAGCGAATTGAGAATACAGTTATATTTTATAGAAAAAACACAAAAAAGTTACAAACTTGGCATTATTCTAAATTTCCTTTGACCAGTAGCTGACCACTTGGAGTGCCTCTGGTGTCGTCATAAGAAGGTCCTCCACTTTGCATATGGCAGGGTTCAGACTGCATTGTTGTAGGTGGTCTGTGGTTTGCTTTTCTCTACACTCACGAACTCCACTTTGTAACCCCATTTCTTAAGGTTACCTCTGCATCTCATGGTGCTTTCCAAGTTGTCCAGTCTTCTGTGTGCCCAGAAGAGAGTTTCTCATTTGGTATCAGCCACTGGCTGAGGTTGCGGGTTTTAGCCTGCCACTTTTGGACTCTAGCTTGCTGAGGTGTTCCTGCAAATATATCTGTAGATCTTCTAATGTTATTTTTTGATTTAAGGCATTGGCTTGCTGGCTGATATCCAAACAGAGGATGGGCGAGAGATGTCCATGCCTTGGTTCTTTCATTACTGGCTGTTACTTCCTGTCAGATGTCAGGTGGTGCGATACTGGCTAAACAATATAATTTCTCCAGCAGTGTAGGTCGTAGTACATCCTGTGATAATGTGGCATGTCTCTTTAAGAGCCACATCCACTGTTCTAATATGGTGAGATGTATTCCATACTCGGCATGCTTATTCAGCAGCAGAATAGCAAAGCACAAGGGAAAAAGTCTTCACTATGTCTGGTTATGATCCCTAGGTTGTGCCAGTCAGCTTTCGTATGATGTTATTCTAGCACCCACTTTTTGCTTGATAATTAAGCAGCGATTCTTGTAAGTCAGAGCACGGTCCAGCGTAACTCCCAGGTATTTGGGTGTGCTGCAATGCTCCAGTGGGATTCCTTCCCAGGTGATCCTCCAAGCTCGAGATGCTTGTTTGTTCTTAAAATGAAAAGCACATGTCTGCATTTTAGATGGATTAGGAATCAGCTGGTTTTCCCTGTAATAGGCAGTAAGAGCATCTAAGCTTCTGAGAGCTTCTGTTCAACCATTTCAAAGCTCCCTGCTTGAGCAGTAATAGCATGATCGTCAGCTTAATAATAATAATAATAAGGTATAACTACCTGGACACGTGCAATGGTTATCAGTGATAGATTCCGAGTCTGCTATTATTCTAAGGAATCCCCATCCTTTTGGAGAACTAAGGACTTTAAAATTTAATTATTCCTGATTTCCATGGTAAAAAAGCAGTATTTAAAAGGGAAATTAGATTTTTGTTTTTTAGAATGTTGATGGTAACTTTTGTTGACCTCTGAGAACTTTCAGCATCAGCTTGGCGAAACTTGGAAACAATTTATTAGTTTCATGTGTAAAAGCAATTGCGAATTTAAACCACCAATTGTCCAAAAGAGATTGCGGTTAAGTAATTTATGAGTACATTACAATAATTTCATCTAATGGATAAAATGATAATAATTTAGAAGTAATAGAATTGACAGTGCTGTATTTTTTATTCTATGGAATAAATGGAAGGGTATAGATCTGGGAATAGAAGGTGAGATAAGACATTCATATTATGTTTCAGGTGTTTAAATAAAAGTATTTCATTTAAAGAAGAAGATGAGGAAAAAAACTAAACAAAAAGAGGGAAAAAACATTTTTGGTATCAGCAAGTAGCAAGTCACATTGATGCCTGACATTTGAGTTGGAAACAAGCTAGGGCCCTTTAATCCCACACAATTATAGCACTACAGTTCTGCTCCAACTGCTATAGCAACAGCCTATTAAATCCTGATATGTAATCTAGGGATGGTTACAAGGATTCTCAGTCAAAAATTATGAGTGCCTCACCAGACTCCAGTCTGGGACATCACCATGACAGTTGATGTGAAATCCTAGTGCTACAGTTGTGTGGTGTGAAAGGGTGTTCTGATGTTGAAAACCGAATATTGTTTGCATTTTTAAATTTACCATTAGTGCCCTGAATCCTGGTGGTCCCAACTACAAGGAATTCTTTGAGTAATTGAGATTTATCTACATGGTGATACAATATTCAATAATTGTTTAGTGGGTCTTCTTTGGTTTGGAGTAACTGATAAAATTCAGGCCAGTGTCTAATTTGTTAGAATTTGATTGTGTACTTCTTTGGATGGGGAAATTAGCATATGTCACAAACATCCTTGAGTCAAAAGATGAAATTTTGAATTACATTTGAACTCTGCTCTAGATGGTAAACTCTATTGTGGGAAATATGTTCAACTGTTTGATCATTTTTATTAGCTGATATGCATCTTGTTATCTAGCAGTCTTGAAGCTTCAAAAGCAATATATCAGTAGTAGCCTTTTTTCACTTTCTAAAACAAGTGAGAATCACTCTCCAAGTTGGTGAATTGAGAATTTATGACATTTTCTTGTTTTGCTTTTGGCATTTTCTAGCAACTTTCCTTCTGAACTTAGCTGTTATTTCAATGACTTTCCCAGACTGGATGAAGCTGTGTGGACATGGTCCTATCTGGTGAGTAACGTATTTATTGACATCATGTGGCCCTGATCACTAAGCACAGATCTCGAGCCTGCTAAGAGCACTCTACACTGACTTCTTAGTTGGGTGTGATCCTCGATCAGCTTTGCAATGACTAAATGCCAAATGGAGCTGATCTGGCTTCATCTAGAGGAAAACAACCAGGATTCAGGTTCTCCCCCAAGTTGCAAAGTGTCAAAATAGCTGGTTCCTAACCATCTTGACAGTCATCACACAGACTTGGGCTCAAGCAGCCCAGGGACTCAGGGCTTTTTGTGGGCAGTCTGGCTGCTGTCAGACAGACTGCATCTTCATTAAGATGATTGGACAGAGCCCCCCCCCCCCCCAACCATTATTAGGGCAGACATCCCTTCTCTGGGCCCCACACCTTCCCCTTTTAATCTCTTTACTTCAACTGTGGAAGTCTAAAACCTACTAGGCACTAGAACTTACTGCAGTTGGTAATAAAAAAGGGAAAACAAAGGTTAAAATACAGCAGTAGCACAATTTCCAAAGCCAAGATTGCTATGAAGGAAAAATGACAAAAAACAAAATGGTGATATTGTGAAATTGTGGTATTCCTGAGGTTTAATTTATTTAAAAGAAGTGATCATGCCAGGCCAATGAAACAGGATTTTGGGAGATAAATGTCAATGCTTTGTAGGAGACTGCCCATAGGAACACGTCACTGAACTGGGCAAAGGGGGAGAAGTGTCTTTCTCTCCTCCACCCGCTTGTTGAGCAATTCTACTCAAGCTTAAATGAAGTCTCTCTTCTTTTATTAGAAGCTTCTTGTCAGTGAAAACTGGAAAACCTGGATTTTCCAAAATCTTTTGAGAAAGTCAAATGAAAGAGGATCCTATGCTGGTTGTGGTTAGCATTTTCTTTATTATTATTGGAGAACATAAGATGGCATGTTTCCACTGCTCTAGCAAGACAAGTTGTCGTGGAGATGGCACAAAAATACCCTTAGCTAACTAAGATTTCATTTTATTTGAGGCTTTTCAAAGGCGTGGGTACGAGTACTGAAAGATCTGATTATCTTGCAAGCTTCTGCTCTTTCTAAGAAAACCAACTTACACAATTCATTTGATAGCTGCTGGGCCATTTCTCATGTTTTGCAAGGGTGGAATTATTTTTTGTGTATAAGTCGATTCTATAATTTGATTATTCTGGTTTATTAGCATTAGAGAGGGTTTGGAAATTTATTTAAGCCGTGGGCAAATCCGTGCATTGTACTCTGCTCTTTGTAGTTACAGAACAGAGTTCATCCTCTTAACTGATTGTTTATCCTTTTTGCACAGGATAATTTGGAAAGGCTGCTGGCATCTACAAAGTATGGGCTGAGGAGTGATTTCACTGTGGTTCTTCAGACATCCCTCCAAGAAAATGTGCCTTTTATGAAAGTGAGTACTAACCTACATTCTCCCCATCTCTCCATCTGACATGTAAGAGGAAATGACCTGAAAAGAGACGTTAAGAGTATATCTATACTGTAGAATTATTGCAGTCTGACACACTTTAACTGCCATGGCAGGGATAATCATCACACTTTTTGTCTGCTTTAAAAATGTCCAGGTGTCTCTCTTCTACCCCCTATTTCCCCCCTTTGTTTCCAGCTTACTTCAGTTGCTGCAAACTGAGTTTAAATAACAAATGTAGTTTGCACTCAATTCATTCAGCAAAAAAGAGGAGCAGATAGAATCTCACCCTTCCCTGTAGGTTTAGGAAAAAGTAAACTGCTGCACCCTGTCCTTATGTGTTGTTTTTCATTAATAGCTTTTGTTTTCTTGGCCACACATTGATATTGCTTGGCTATAAATGCATCAGTTTCCATTTGCAAAACTTTGAAGTGCATGTTTGTCAACTAGCCCTGCTGCCGTGTAAATAACCTTTATGCAATATGGACTTGAATTTTAACCCTGTGGAAATACCTTCCTCTCTAATCTTTTTCCACTTTAAAAAAGGGCTTGTTTAGTTATTGACTATACAAATAAATGCCAAACCATTATCCAGTTTCCAAAAACATTTCTCTTGCAGAGCAGACAAGAAAAAGCCTATTTCACAGAGAAGACATCTGTGAAGATCACAGAGAAGGAGTTTGCTATGACTGCTCTAGGAGTCGGACTCTGGAACAATATGGTATGAAATGCTGGGATTATTGAACAGATTGCATTTTGCAATTGCATGGGCTCTGGGTGTTTCTAGTTGAATGGCGCATCACTCACCAAAGCTTTAGGTAGTTATTCCATCTTTTCATCTTTATTACGTTTTTGATTAATTAATAGGGGGAAATCTTTAGAAGATGTAGGAAAACACAGGAAAGTTATAGGTGGAAAATACAAGTGATCTGGACCCTGCATATGATTCTGAATGAGGCAATATGGATTATAATAAAAGCCTTGTCTAGAAGCAGTCTGGGTCTATTGGAGAAGGCACCATTGAAGAATCAGAGCAACAAAGAAAGTCTTTTTTGGTAAAATGGTTAACTGTAGGAAACTGTGATAACAGGAGAAATATTTTGTTTGATTTACATGTTCTACATTTAATATCCCAAAAGAACCCATCAAAATACTTTCTGTACAAACTGAAATGTTGTCATTATATTTTAAATGACTAGATAACTTTGAGGGAATCCTCCAATAGTTCTTGTATCCAAGATACCTCATGCTGGATCTTAAAAGGAATGCTTTTCTTCTTCTTCAGGTCTTGTTTGGGGTTCGTTCCAGGAAAGGATACTAGAGATGGGGCCTTTTTAATGACAGATAGATATTTTTGGGACATCTTCCCAAGAGATTATTGTGGTTACATCAATATTGAGTTTTAAGCAAAACTTTTTTGGGGGAGGGGGACAATATAATAATAATAATAATAATAATAATAATAATAATAATAATAATAATTACATTTCACTTAGGGTGCGCTTCTGAATATTTTACAGTTGAGCCTCCATATTCCTAGGTTTCTCTTGCATGGATTTGGTTATTCACAAGCATATAGTTGCTGCATAACTAGCTAGACCTCCTCACCCTCCTAATGCTTTCCTGTCCTTCCAAAAGAGACAGATTTTGAACTTCTTTCTATCCCATCAATCTCCTCATCCCACCCCTATTTCTCCAAATCCTTTCCTCTTAATCTCCTATCGTGGAGATGCCTGGCATTCCCTGGTGGCCCACTATTCAAAGACTAATCAAGCCCACTCTGCTTTAGTCCTAAAATCAAATCCACTTGTGTGAGAGCAGGGAGGCATGATGGTTCACAAGACATTAGGCCAACTACAAGTTAACACATTGGATGAGGTGTAGCTGTTTTTTTGCATGCCAAAGCCTTTCATTTTTACTTCACACATGTGCATAGTCAGAGAAGAATCAAAGACTTGATCAAGGTTAAAGACTTGGATGGAAACACCTGCATTCAGTTATCTTGATCTTTCTCCCTTTTACTCAGAAGGATAACGTCAAAGTTCTTGTCTCACCCTTTCTTTTATTACAGGTCAGATGTTCTGATTAGATACCTAGTAGTTATTGGGCTATTATTGCTCACCTTCTTTAAAGAGGGAGGGGGTTCATTGTGAACTGCTTACACTTGAGATTTTATTTCAAGTGTGGTACGGTTTTGCTTGAACTGCAGAGTGAAATGTGGAACTTTTCACTCTCTCTAATAATTTTTAATTCATCTATTAACCCATGTTGGCCTGAGATGGTGGGATGTGTAATACAATGGAGGAGAGTGCCAGTCTGGGGAAGGTTTATCAATAATACTAGGATCACACATTGTTTAAAAAACAGTATGTTAATTAGTTGACTAATTGGTAGCAGTGGTGCCACTGCCATTATCTCTGTGAGATCCTCTAGCAGCCTCTTATTTGTAGAGTTAACATGTTGAAAGCAATTGTTTACAGGAATTAACAAAAAAAATTACATAGAAAAGGATTATTGCCAACCCTAGGATGATTTTATGCAACCCTCAGTTGTAGCCTTTTAAATGCCTCTATCATTTCTCTGCAATTTACAATTATTCACTGCTCTGAACCCTGAATATATAGGTTTCTGTATGATGCAAACTGAATTCCCCTTCTCTCCTAACTTGGGGTAGAATGCTTGAAAATAAATTCTATAGACTCTGCAGCTGTTGACTTGATACTGAGGGCACTTCTACACTGACACTAAAATCCAGCTTAGAACCGGTTCAAGCAAAAAAAACAAAACAACTGGTTTCACTGTGGATTGATCACATCACATTCCTGGAACCAGTTTGAGTCCACGAAGTAATTACATTGAGCACAGAACCAGGGCTCAAACTGCTTTGTGCCCCCCACCCCCCATTTCCAAAGACATCAATTCTCCAGAGGCATATGAGAAAGGGGAAAGTGACAGCAGCAGAACTGATCAATTTCCCGTTCCAATGTCACCAGTGGGTTTCCCTAGCCGAATAGGAATTCAAATCCTAGTCTCTAGAGTTGTACTCCAGTGCTCAAGACACAATACCAACTGACGTATATGATTTTAAAGAGGAAAATCAAGAACTCTATTACTTTGTTCCAATATCCCAATCCTCCTACTTCTAGAAGAAATTGTCATAGGTTTATATGAAGTCATTTCATTTGAGCAGTTTCCTCCTCCCTTATCTCTTTTTGATAATTGCTTGTAATCTTGGCAAGGTCAGATAACATGCTAGATATTGTCTGACTATAAGGAGCACAGAGTAAGTTTATCTGATCAGCATCTCTGACAAGAAGAATCTGTTCCTCCACTCAGAATAGCACAAGGTAAGACAAAATTACCCTGGTTCATCACAATGAGAATCAGTGTAAGATAAAGGTCAGTAGCACACTCAATATGGTGACTGAAAGACATAAATGTGTGTGTACACACACACACATCTGTGATTAATTTAAGATACATTAACAGCCCATTAGGTATCCTGGTTGAAGGATTCCAGGAGATTAGTCCAAAATCACTTTGTAGTGTGAATTATCTTTAGTCCTCAAGGGAAGCTATGGAATAGCTTGGTGTTCTAGATCACCCTACTAAGTGCAGTGTTAGGTGCGAACAGTAACCTATTCACACTTTTTTCAACCAATACTACACATGTTCTGAAAAATTATCAAAAAGGGGATAAAAAAGACAGAATAGGCATTTCTTTGCCCTGCTCACTACCTTAAGTGGTGAAAAATCATGGGATGACGCTAAATCTAATGCAGTAAACTTGTTAAAGTCTCTTAGTTCTGGGCTGCGTTTGTGACTTGCATAAGTGGACTTTCTGCCTCCGTTTCTCAATTTGAAACCAGGGTTTACTGCAGCACTGTTTTGTTTCCTGATGAAAAATAACAACCCCCCGCCCCTTTTCATGTGAATAACCAAGTTAATTGGTGAATTAATTTTATTTTGTTACAGATGATGGATGGAATAATATTCTCTTCTAATCTTTAATGCAGGAGTAACCAATGGATCTGAATTTTGAGGCTCATAAAATCCTACATCCTTATCATCCCCTGCTTTAACGCACACTTATTCCAGATTTTTTAAAGTGTGGCAGGAAGGGCAAGGAAAGAGTGGTCAATGACGCAGTGTGGTATGCAGATAGTGCCATCTTCCATTAACAATATTAGTAGACTCCATATTACTGGCACATTGCAAAAGAAAGAAGGGCAATGCCAGTATGTTTCTGTTTCTATAGAGAGTGGTTCTGCGGTGTCCGTATAGACTATAGACTATTATAAAGTCCTAAGTTAGAACCATCAGGATAGGCTGTATGGTCCAAAACACACTCTTTGAATACCTACTGATGCCTCATAGGTTATGTTGGTCGGGGGAGTGATCTGTTTCTCTAATCATATTGCAGGTCCTGATTTATGGTTATTTTCTTCCCAGACTCTGACAGAATTATAAAGGACACTGCACGCACACAAGGTTACCTAAGAATAAATCAAACTGCCACCTGAATTGTTTGTTAGAATCAATTACATTGCCTGTATAGGAAGAAAATTGGCAGACAACAAAAGCTACCTCCATAGATAATTCCAATCTATTTCTTTAATGGTCAGAAGTGAAGGGATTGCTGCCTTCAACTCATTAAAACTTGGCATACGTTTGCAGGAAATTTACTTGATGATTTACTTGTATATTGCACCCATCAGCACATTGTTGCTATCTTCAAGCAAGAAGCCCAGTGTATTTTAGCAAAACATTTTCAATTATATCTCTGGAAGTATAATCTAGAAGTGGCTACCCTACATAATATTGTTAAGTAAAAAGTGTTCGTCCTTGTGCTCAACTTTCTCTCTGCTTTTAAAAAAACATTCCCCAAAATTCCTGCTTTGTGAATATAACTATGCATCTATGAGACAGAATTATGGCAGTTTGACACTACTTTAACTGCTTCAAAGCTATGGGGCCATGAAGTCGTAGTTTTACAAGGTCTTTACAGGGTCTGTGCACCTGTTCAGAAGAGTTCACCTCGTTCTGTCTCCATGATAATTGGATTTTGAAAAATTTGGCTTGTTGAGCAAACAAGAATTAGTGATAAAGCTTCAGTGGAGACACCTCCCCCCCCCCCCATGATAACAAGGGGTGAATTTCCCTTCTAAGGGGTAGATTTCCCATGCTTCCTGTTGTCTTACCCCTGTCCTTAACTATGAATCATTTGCAACCCAGGTGTTTGTAACTCGGGGACTGCCTATACACACACACACACACACATATCCTGACCATCCCAGTGTAAAATGTTTTATGCAACTTTTTATCACACCACTCTTGCTAAATTAAAACAGTGTTCAGGGGAGGGGAGGCCTATTTTAATCAAACGTAGGGCTAGTAGGTTTTCCTGCCAATCACCTCCTCTTTTAGATGCTTAATCTTGTTTTAATGTTTGGATCCTGTGTAATGTGGTCTATTACATTCAGTGTTTGATTATGAGTTTAGAAACCAGGGTTCAATCCCCTACTTGCCCATGAAAACCCACTGTTGGACCTTGAGTTAGTCACACACTCTTGTCCCTAGAAAATCTATGGTGGGGTTGCCTTTGGTCAGTGGTTCTCAACCTGTGGGTACACAGATATTTTGGCCTTCAGCTCCCAGAAATCCTAACAGCTGGTAAACTGGCTGGGATTTCTGGGAGTTGTAGACTAAAACACCTGGGGATCCACAGGTTGGAAACTACCACCTTAGGTTCTCCATAAATCGTAAATGACCTCAGAACATTCAGTACTGAAGAAAACTGAAAGCAAAGAGAAAAAAGAGGAGCAGGAGAATGTGGAACAACGAAGGATTAATTGGGATGGTCCCTGCTAAATCAGAACAGTTAGAGCAGTGGTTCCCAACCTGTGGTCCATGGACCACCAGTGGTCTGCAAGAACGAAAATATTACTACACCACCATTACTACACCATTGCCTCAAAACCACGTGGCAACGAGAGCAACTGGTCTCATGAAACCCTCATATAGTGGTGAGGCAACAGGGATGTCAGGAGGGGAGAGTCTTACTACCCATGAAAGATTACTACTAACACATCAGCTCTAGATTATTAAATATTGTTTTCTGTGAGTGAGCAGATGGTGACTACTGGATGGCATGTGTTCTGTACCAGAAACTAGAGCTGGTGTGATCTATCCAATGCAGTTTTCTGAATTGGCACCCCAAATAACCAAACCGAATCTAAAGTTGACCAAAAACGTATTCATAACCCTTTTGGTATTAATATTGGAGAGTGGGACGTGGTAAAAAAAATAGTTGGGAACCACTGAGTTAGAGGTATAGCATTTCACTACGTCATCTGAATAATAACTTCCAGAATCGTCAAAAAGAGCACAATTTCTTTTTGTATTTAGGTAGCTTTATAACTATAGCTATATATATCAGTTCCCTCAACTGGCATTTTTATGTGCTTTTTTGTACCTGGCAATAAATGTGCTGTTGCAATATTGCTAGATGTATCCCATCTTGCATGGCTCAGACTTTATTTTATATTTGAAACGTTTCTGCAGAAGTATCCAAACTTGTTTTCAGAGATAATATGGAGGAAGTCTTAATGCAACTGGAACAGTTGCCTGTATCTATAATGGCTATTTTAGCAGGTGCTGCAATTCAACCAGATAACATATTAGACCTGAATTTTCCTCTTCTATATAACCCTTAAAGATATGGAAGCCTCTCTAGTTTTCAGTCTAAAAACTCTAGTTTTCCTTCTAAGGAGGAAATGTGAAATCTGTTTGAACATGTAGTTCTGTAGTTCCTTCATTATTTAAATGAGTTGATATACTCAACAGTAACAAGTTAATTCTAACTTTGCAGTTGATACAATTAATTGTAACAAATTAGGGTTTTTTGTTTACATTTTAAACGGTACCATAACAAGTGGGGGTGAAGCAAACAACTCTAGTGGAGCACCAAGTAATATTTTCTAGTTACCCTAAGAGGCACTTGATGTAAAAAATTTAATTGTTCTAAATGATATGTCTTCTAATTGATTCTGCAAGCTGCCTAGGGTTTCACATTGGGGGAGAGGCAACATACAGATGAAATGAAACAATAGATAAATAATTTCCCAACTTTTGTACTTCTTTGTTTAAGCCTAAGATTTGCTATAATTAAAGCAAGAGTTATTTCTCAAACATCATAGTGAATAACAGCTGTGCATTTCAATGAAAGCCCTGTAATGAGTATTCAAGGATTAGCTGTTCAACATACAGATAAGAATTTGCCTTTTCAGTGACAGTTTTCTGTGTGCATTGATTCATTTTCTTTATACAGTTCCCTTATTTTTTATTTGGAGCGGGGAGGGGGGTGTCAGTTGTCTTACAATCTCAAATGTTTCAGCTGAGGTTAAGGTCTGCTGTATCATGGGCTCTCGCATATAGCCGGGGGGGGGGGGGGGGGGGGGGGGGGCCTGGGGGGAGGGGGGGCTTGAGGGCTTCAGCCCCCCCCCCCCCAAAATTCTCATGGTGGTTCGCGAAAAGGCCTTACTGGTGCATTATTTAAATTGTTATGTTTATTCATATCATGATCTGATCACCATACTCAATATATCCCATATGCATGGGGGTATTGGGGTAATGATACAAAAGTTTGCTAGGGTAGACCCTCTTTCACTCAGACTCAGCCCCCCAGAAACTCAGCCCCCCCCCGAAACCCCCCCTGAATAAAACTCACACACCCCCTCGAATCGAAATCCTGGCTACGGGCCTGCATGGGCTGTTTGTGACAATAACAACAACAACATTTTATTTATATTCCACTCTATCTCCCCGAGGGGACTCAGAGCGAATTACAACATACACAGCTAGGCAAACATTCAATGCCTTTAATAAGTGGAAAACAATTACACACAAATACACAGAACAAAGGTAAAGGCTTCCCCTTTCATCTCCAGCTTCTGGAGGTGGTGTTCAACTCTCTGTCCATGGGAAGGTGCTCTTGTTCCACTTCCAAGCCGAGGAGCCTGTTGTCCATAGATATCTCCTGGTTGTGTTGCGGGCATGGCTGCATGGGTGTCTTTATTAATTTCCCACCAAAGCGGTACCTATTGATCTACTCATATTTGCATGTTTTCAAACTGATAGGTTGGCAGAAGCTAGGGCTAACAGTGGGAGCTCACCCTGACCTGCATTTTCAAACTGTCAACCTTTAGGTCAGCAGATTCAACAATTCAACAGTTTAACCTGTTGTGCTCTATGGTGCAGTAGGTCCAGATGTAATGCTCTTGCCTTCAAGTTAAGACTTGCAGTTCTGTCCTGCCCAAATACAAACATTGACCATATCCACTTCTGATCCTCAAACAAAAGGCCTTTTATTTTTTAGATGGAACCAGTTGGGCAGAAGCAACCCTATCATTTCACTGAAATCCCTGAGGCACAATGTCCTTCTCAGGTAAGAGGAGTCACCTGTTTACATGTTTTTAAAAACATTATTAGTTTCTCAAGGGTATCTTTTTTTCCTTTCTTCTCTGGGGGCTCCCCAAGTATCCTGGAATTTAGTACCTACCACCACATAAAAGTCATTTTTGAGTATGCTGGCCAGAGATGACAGGTTTTCTATTCCAACAGTTCAGAAGGATATATTCATTGGGGAAGGTAGCTCTTTTAAAAAGTAAAATCACTATCACACAGTGTCACACGATCACTTTTCTCTTATTATTTCTAACTTGTTTGTAGGGTTGCTTGGGGTATTTGTAATTCCTGAATTTCCCTGCAAAGTAGTCTAATCTCCTCTTCCTAGGTTAAAGCTATTATCCTTCACATCTGTGATGCCTCCCAGCAAAGAGACTGTGGCTGTCATTTTCATAGGGGCTTACTGTATTACTCTGTATTGCAGAGAGACTGTTTGCTCTATACCCCTAACTTTTATCCTCAATGTATTCATGGGCCATAGCAAAATCCATAATACACGAGGTTGACATATGTGAATATATGTTCTAAGTCCATTTCTGGATTTGAAAAACTGACATTTTCACATTGGGCAGTAATTGATCTTTTATTGCCAGGCAGTAGGTATCAGAAAGTTAGGGAGCCAAAGAGCCTCATTAGTGGTGATGGTGGTGGAAGATGTTACCTGCAGTCCCAGCAAAGACTAATCCTATTTTAAAATTGTGTCTCTTGGACCTTGGCTGTGCCCAAGCATAGCTGTTCCATCAATATGGAGCTCTTACGTTTCAGTAGCTCTGACTTTATTATAGAGATTCACTATCCATGAAGATCTCAGGTTGAGTTTGATATATTTCTGGGCCCAGAAGTACTATCTGGAGACTAGAGTAGCTGTGAGAAATACAGACATTCCCAATCAATCTTAAAGACTTCTGTGTCTGCTTTACTAAATCTTTTCCGCTAACTTCAACCATGGTGTGAAGTGATAACTTTTCAAATGCTGTCACTTATCTTGTCTCTGCAGGAGCATCCATACTTCTTCACCTACAAGAATAGTAACTATTCATCTTTTCCCATGGAGCTGCTGATTGAATCAAAACAGCAGGTATGAAAACAACTGGTTGCATAATATTTTAGAAAGGAGTTCATGAAAAGGGTGAATTGGCACAAAATTCAGCATATCTTATGGAGTATTTGGTGGGGATAGATACTCATTTGAAAAAGTGAATATTTCTTTATGCTGCAATGTATCTCTAATGATTTAATCTTTTTTCAGCAAATGAGCTTTGGCAGTAGGGTTCCATGTACAGACCGCAGACCTTCAGGCAGAATTCCTACCTCAGGTACATATTTGGGCTTTCTGATGACTAACTATCAAGGGCAAGAGGCTGCCAGAATTCTGGATTAACTGGATTACGGTTTTTATTTTTCGTGTCAGGAGCAACTTGAGAAACTGCAATTTCCTTCTGGTGTGGATTAAGATAACACCAGAGCAAATATCCTGACTATATAGTAGACCTTCAGTATCTACTGGACTTCAGTTCCAAATTTCATGGACACTCAAGATATACAATGATGTAGTAAAATAGCAGCCCTTATATCAAATGGCAAGCAACTCAAATTAGTGCTGGAGAACATCTGAGGGTCTGTGAATGGTGGAAAACTACAGATCAATGTCAGTCAGTCACACATGGAAAATCAAATTTTGCTTTTTGGATTAAAAAATATTTTTGATATTCATGGTTGGATGAAGACCCCATAGATGTAGAACAGTGGTTCTTAAACTGTGGGTCCCAGATATTTTGGCCTTCAACTCCCGGAAATCCTAACAGCTGGTAAACTGGCTGGGATTTCTGGGAGTTGTAGGCCAAATAAACCTGGAGACCCACAGGTTGAGAACCATTGATGTAAAAGAACAGCCGTACCTTTTAGGATTCTTCAGCCATTCTCCAATCTAATGGGATTCTGGAATTCTCCAGCTCACTGGAATAAGGCAGTGGATTCCAGCCTTTGGTCCTCCAGGTGTTCTGGATTTCAGCTCCCACAATTCCTAACAGTTGTTAAGATGGCTGGGATTTCTAGGAGTTGAAATCCAAAACACCTGGAGGACCAAAGGTTGGGATCCACTGGAATAAGGAAACTTGCAGTTGTTAATTTCAAATCCAGTTATTCTGGTTAGAATAAACTCATTCTACATAAGCTTTCCCTTATCAGAATCTTGCTGCTTCAAATCAATATACTTTACCTGGGACTGACAAAGGAATTGCTTCAAAATAATCTACAGTGCAGAATCTGTAGACTTCTGAGCAATCAGAGAACTACACAGTCCTAGCTTCAGTATCATAGAATGTAACAATCCATTCATCTTCCAATATTGTTTTCATGTCTATTCCATTATTGTTCTGCTTTAAAACAAAAAATTAGGCTCAACTTTAATTTGCTAGATATGAACCTGTTAGTATTATCAGAGAAGCCATTTGTGCTTCCCATGAGACGACCGTAGAGAGCAAGGATTTCTGAATGATAGCACTTTGGTTTTGGAATTCCCTCTGTCAGAAATCTGGTGGTTCCACAGCTAAAAATCATATCTACCAATTTCAAGGATGAGCAAATGTTTAATATGTCTTTGAGTATTGGTGCCTTGCATTTTTTATTTAAAAAAGCAGCAATTTTAATTTGTTTTTATACACTTGTGATTTGTCATTTTAGATTTGTGATTTTAATTTGAGGTTTAATGTAGATTGTTAGCTATCATTAGCTATCATAAGCTTTTATGAAGAAGACTTTATGGTTTATGGTGGCTGAAAAGTTTATGATCTATTAGCAGTCTCATTATTGCTACCAATAATAATAAAAATCACAAATCCTAAACACGGGGGAAGGGAGAAAATAGTGTGAAATATGTAATTATAGAATTCTGCTGAGTATTGGAAGAATGGGTTTACTGCCAGTGGAAGCAATGAACTATGAAAACTGAATCACTAAATTGCCATTATCCAACTTCTCAGATAAAAGTTACAATGTGAATGACGAGTCTCAGTCCTCCAAACAGTATGTGCCAAAGTATGTAAAGGTTAGCTTTTGAAAAAAATGCAAAGTATGAAAAAATTCTGGAAATGTCAAATTGATATAACACAGTGATGGGCAATATGTAGTCCTCTAGATAATTTCTGAGAGATAGACCTCCAGTAAGCCCCAGTCAGTACAACTAATGGTGGGGGTAACATGGGTTTTAGACCAGTAATATCTGAAGCATCTCCCAATCCTTGAATTTAAAATCTGAGGTTGAAGCAATGCACTGAGTGAGATTTAGCACAACCAGTGGTGGAAATTGGTGGGAACACCTGGAGGTTCACAAATTCCCACTCCTGTTCTAGCATTGAAGCACTAGTCCTTCATTTAAGAAATGATTTCAAGGAACATTAAGAGACGTGGTCGTTCTCATGAAACCTTTCCTTGATTTAAGTCTATGGGAGGAGGCTAATAGCCATACAGTGGGTGACTTTCACAGTGTTCAAACTTATTTCTCTCACAATTGGCAGCAACTTCCCGTCTTACATCAGGGGGCGGGGGGGGGGGGCATGACAGCTAGTTACTAAAGTCTATCAGCAGGTGTAGGTTTAAGACATTCTATGACTATTCTGAGGGAGCCCCTGGTGGCGCAGTGAGTTAAAGAACTGAGCTGCTGAGCTTGTTGATCGAAAGGTCGCAGGTTCGATTCCGGGGAGCGGCGTGAGCTTCCGCTGTCAGCCCTAGCTTCTGCCAACCTAGCAGTTCGAAAACATGCAAATGTGAGTAGATCAATAGGTACCGCTCCGGCGGGAAGGTAACGGCGCTCCATGCACTCATGCCGGCCACATGACCTTGGAGGTGTCTACGGACAACGCTGGCTCTTCGGCTTAGAAATGGAGATGAGCACCACACCCCAGAGTCAGACATGACTGGACTTAATGTCAGGGGACTACCTTTACCTTTTATGACTATTCTACATGTTTTATTCAGTGCTATATTCACCTGCTTCACATGGGCAGATTTACGCCAGATTTATGCTGAAAGTGATAGAATAGTAATAGTGCAACATGCTGAAGTTGAGCAATTAGTTCACCTCCTCTCTTCTTCCCATAACTGATATAACTTTGTAATATAGCGATGATAACTATATTGGTCTTTACCAACACAATTAGTCTTTTGGGAGGCATCCTGACTTCCATGAAAAAGAGCCCTCAGATACTTGATTTTCATTAAATTACCACCTGGGAGATGCTGGAGCCTTTACTAGTTTTTCACATTACATGTATGTGTCCATGCATTTTAAAAAGCAACTCATTCTTTCGGGAAGTGTTTTGGATTTTTTTAAAGATTTTGGAATATCTTTGAGACGATACTCAAATCTAAATTTGAGATTTATATGCATATTATATGTGTATTATACAAAGCTGAAGGTAATTGCATGTAATATCTTTATATTTTTAATATTTTTGTACATGGAACCATGTTTTTGTACACTGAACCATGAGAAAACAAGGTGGCCAATTTCAGATTTCTAGGAAAGGGATGTTCAATCGATGTCATATACTTGCAGCAGGGGGATAACAGAGTTCAAGGACATTTCTCTCAACATGGATTTTAAAGAGCATCTCAAGTTTTTCCAGATTTTCCCCACATATCCTTCCTGCTGAAATATATTCTTCATGCTGAAGGCCTTCTAAAAAGTTCCATCATTGTCTCCCTTTCCTTTTTTAAATAGTTCATAAGTTGAAGCCAGGAGACATTAAAGTTATAGGTGCCCTTGGAGACTCACTAACTGTAAGTACCAAATGTGTGCTATTAAACTGATGGATATAAAGAGCACCTCTGAATTATAATGTGAAAAAGGAGGAGCAAAACATCTTCATGGCAAAGTGAATTTTTCATGTTTTTACTCCCTCACAAGTATTCCCATTATTCTTGCTTCTTAATCTCTTTTGGCCAGCTCTCTTAGCAGTTGTCTATTTGCATATGTTAATGAGTGCAAAATTATTAACAGTTTTATAACAATAAAGCAGAAATTGGTTTGCTGTGTGGCAAATAACCTGACTATGGTAATTTTAAACTAACTCGGCAAAACTTCTGTGTAGGTGCTAGACAGAAGTTTTTTTGTGGCAAAGAATTTGCCTGAAAGGCAGAAGCCACATGAAATGTAACCGGAAGAGAGACACAAATCTAAGTCTTTCTGTTTGCTGTCGAAAGAGTCACAGTAGCTGATACTTCACTCTAGAACAGGGGTGAGCAAGTGCAATGCATTCTAGTCGGCCAGACTGGTATGCCCAATGGGACCTGAAGTGACATTGTATCTCTTCTGGTTTATTTTTACTCTCTCACTCTCTCTTTTTGCATTTTGAGGTATGGGCGAGGATTAAAAGACTTTGAGGTGTTGGTGCAAAATTGCCACCCCCAAATTGGACCTTTGAGGGTCTTCAATGCCCCCATTTTGGGACTCCAAGGGTCCCTTGCAGTCCATGGTCTGCACTTTGCCCAACCTGATTCCGGATGGTAGAGAGCCTGATTCAGACTCTAGCATGGGGAAGAGCACAAGAACACCCTGGGATTCTAGTGTCCTAAGCCTGGACCCTATGCAGTTTTATATTGCAAAACCACAACCAATTTATGTTGTAAAGGTTATTGGGTGGGGGTAGATACTCATAGATACTAAAGGTTGGATGTACAAATGATGTGAACCTTTGTTCCAAGAACATCGATTTCTTTACTTATTTATTTACAGTATTTGTATCCTGCCATTCTCACCCTCAAGGAGACTCAAAGCAGCCTTACAATAGGCAACAATTTGATGCCATACACACATACTCCAGCAAAGGATCACCGTCTTGTCGGGGTGCTGGAGCTTGAGCACCTCAATGATGTCATGAGCGAAACCGTGAAGGGCCACCCAAGACGG